CTTTCCCTGCAGCCAAGACTCCTGAGAAGACTCCAGCCAAGAACCCTTCAAAAAGCCCAGCAAAGTCACCTCAAAGTTCTTCCAAATCAATATGATTGCTATTTACGATATAAATACATTGATGTAGCTATATTACTCATCTATAATTGATCGAGTACAAAATTCTGGGGTATTTTTGGTGAAAATAGGGTATCAGGCCTTGGTTCAGGAACCAATCCCCCATTTATAACATTGTTTCTTATGAGAAAATTGGTTCCCAGTTACAACATTTGACTTAAGACATGGTTTTCAGGAACCAATTGTGTTCTAAGTCCAAGGAGAAGCCTGTATACAATCTGGTTATTTTAAACTATCCTCAATGTTCACTCTTTCCTCTTACACAATACCACTGACTTCTGCTGAAAAAAAAATGAAACCCAATCAGAGCTGCCACTTTAGGTGTTGTTTTCCATTACTGTCCCACTAGCCTCTTAGTAGCAGTTACTGATGTTCTGCCTAGCCAAACTGTCTCATATATACAAGGTATTTATAAAGTCTATGTGCAACTTTAACTACTTTGGAAATACATGATAGAAGTAAACTATAAATGGCGATTGAAAGCATAATTAATTAAGTTTTTTAGCATAGTGTAAGCTATGCAAGGGCTAAGGGTCACAAATGCAATTCATTACATCACTCAGCAACAACTGGGAAATGTTTTCTGCCAGCTGGAAAATCGGATAGAACGATGTATCACAAAAGATGGTGGTTATGTTGAAGTCTAGAAATTTGACCTGTAATGCGTTAAAATGTAACAAATTGATGCTTTCAATTGCCGCTTACAGTTTGCTTCTATTATATGTACATCCAAAATTATTAAAGCTTCAAGTTGCACAAGAACTTTATAAACACCCTGTATTCAAATTCCATTTAACAGCAATAGGCTTAAAAGGCCCTGGCTAGCTTGTACTATTATTGCATTTAAATAGATAAATCATTCATTTTGCAACTGGGTTCTGCCCAGAACCAACTGGCAGAACATTGTGGGGCTGGATATGGACAGACAAAGGTCTTTGGGTAGGTCCAGTATCTTTTATTAGACCAACTCAAATATTTGGACAAATTCTTAGCAAGCTTTTGGGCACAAACACCTCCGTCAGGCTGAGGAGGTGCCTCCAGATAGCATAACAACTCAAATGCCATTGCCCAGGACCTGCATTAGGAACTGATGCAACGCCTACTTCAACCCATGTGAAGCAAAAGTAAAGGGCACAAAACCCTGAACAGGTATTTGTGTTTTTTTTAAGAGAGCAGTCTCATAAAAAAACCTCTCTCAGTAACCTGGCAGATTAAATCCCGCAGTCATTCCTCTTGAGCAGGGTGGTAGCAGCTCGGCCCCCTTGCGGTGGAAATATAGCAGGGAGAGGGGGGAATACGGAAAAGAGTGGCTGCCTTCTGGCTGCTCAGCTCTGATCAGGAAACGAGAGAAAACGAAACTCGGAGCGGGGGGGCGGGAGACAGGAGAGCAGGGACGGGGAGAGAAGAGTGAGTGCAAAAATCAGCACCGGGGGACTGGAGGGAGCGCTGCAGGCGTCAGGAAATGGAAAAGCAAGTGGCTGAAGGGGGGAGACGGCGGGAGGGAAGGAGATCGATCACTTGGCTGGGAGCCGACGGGAGAGGAGCCCGGCTGGAGGGGCAGCGCCGCAGGCCTCACCTGCCAGCAGCGTCCGAGCCAGGGGCTAGGCCAAAGTGCAGCTCGGGATCCCTTCTTCTGCGAGCCCCAGGCTCCGGCCAGCTCCGCGGAGACACCAGAAGAACAAAATGTTAAAAAGCGGAGGGGAGCGGAGGGGAGGGGCCGGCCGGGCCGGGCCCTGCACCGCGTGGTGCTGCGCGGAGGGGAGCGTTAACACTGCCCTGCCTGGGCTGTTGGAGCCAGTGCCCGCGGCCTGCACCCTCCGGGGAGCTGCTCAAATCAGTTTTCTTCCCACATCCTCTGCTGTCGTGGCATCTTCCCCTTCTTTTTTGTTGCGGGTTTTTTGCGTGTAAAAATAAGAAGAAAGGACGCACTGCAAGGGCAGGCAGGCACCTGTTGCACTGAAGCCTGCTGTCCATCACCCCCGTGGAGCAACACCCTCCTCCGCCAGCTTGTTAAGCTCCCTGGACGCCTGTCTTCATACTGTATTTTGGGCCTCTTCTCATTCTTTTTCGGGGCTCTGAGTTTCCTGGGCAGGGGGCTGGCAGCAATGTTGATAAAAACGCCACATTTTTCTCTTGTGTATGGTAGAAACCCCCCTCCTATTTGCCACCGATCTCTGGGAGATGCCTAATTCTCAGGTGACTGCTCCTGGATCTTACTTCAAGTCATTAACCTTCCTTAGCAGCCATAAGGCCATGTACGGACATTGCACTTTTACCTGTATAAGTGACTGGAAACCCGTAACAGACCAAAGGTGTCATAAAAACAATATAACCTGTGAAAAGCAGATGACCCCTTCCTGAACAGATGATCTAATGCTGAACTTAAAGATAGCCTTTTGCTGACAGTAAGCAAACTTGTTCTGTGTATTTTGTAACTCTGTAACAGCAAGCAAAAAAACAAGACCCCAGAGCTAATGGAAATTCCCCAAAGATGCGCATGCATATATGCCTTATGCCTATGTGTACCTGTATTTGCATATGTATGACCTGTTAGTGTAAAAAGTGCTACCAAACTCAGATTGAGGGCTTTTTGTCTTTGGGCATCAAGCACCCCTCTGCAGAGCAATAAATCATCTTACCGACACCCCCTCGTTCTCAGCCTAATTGATCGCGGCTAGGAACGAGCCCAAAGACGGGAGGAGGCCAGTGTTCCTCAGTGTATGAGCACACCCTTCGGTGTACGGGTGCTACACAGTAGCTGGCCAATTTCCCCAACAAAGGTCAGCACATGTAGACTGGCTGAAACATGGCAGAACCCGATCTAAGATTCCCTTTCCTGTGCCCCCACCGAAGGGTGAATGGTCGTTCTCTTCATACTGATATAAACTATGCTGCTTACAAAAAACGGTGCAACTTAGATGGATTCTGCGTTGGGCTTTTGTATGTCTGTACCTAGCCTAATAGCCAACTTCTGTTGCTTTAGAGTTGTATTCAGGGTCTTAGCTATATGGTCCAACCAGATTTGTACGAACTGAGGAGCCAGAAGACTCTATCTTGAGTTCCCCCTATTTTCAATACCAAATCTCTCAAGGAACATTTCTGATTTTAACTATGTCCATAGATATTTTTCACAGAAGAATCCGGTCTCCTCTTTGTTCAGTTAGGTCTCCATTTATTTGGCAGAATCCATAAGACGGAGACTTCCCCTACTCAAGCATGCTGGTTGCCAGAGGGTTTCCAAGGCACCTTCCAGCTTTAAGGCTTTTGGGGGGGATCTAGTGAGAGAGGAGCTCCTGTCCTGGTTCCAGATTGAAATATTGTTGGCTATAGTTTTTAAGAGGCAGAGAAAGGTGCTGGGGATCTAAGTGCCCTTTGGTGTTTCTCCGAAGACATGTTCCAATATTGTGAATACAGCACTGAAAACAGCTGCTTTTAAGTGATAAACACTCCGCTGAGTGTCAAAAGCCCATCTTTTAGGTCTGTGTGAAGCGGCTAGTATTCGTTTTGGATTTGGATTCAGCCAATTCGGGGGACAGTGATTTGATACGGTGATTCAAATCGCTATCGCAATTCAATTCAGCCTAATCAGATTTGGAGATTCAACTGCTGCCCAATCTTCAAATCAGCCAGCACATCCCCTCCAGCCCTTCTCCCAGCCCAGCAATGGCTGCCCCCCACCCCAGCTCCTGGCACTTGTTTTAAAAAAAAAAAGCCCCAGTGCTGCCAGGGTGGGGGGGAGGTGTTGATCCCTGCTATCCCCATTGCCCCAGGCTGAATGGGGGGGCTCTGCATGGGTGCCTTGCTTGGGCCGGCTCTGGCTCTTTAAGAAAAAAAAAAAGCCCAAAAAACCCCACACAAACTGTTTCTGGTGGGCTGGGGAGGTGGCAATCCCTGCTGGCCTGTGCCAGATGAGGGGCTCTGCATGAAGCCTGAGGCCACTGCAGGAGCCGTGAGTCCTGAGGCTTTTCTTGGGGGTTTTTTTTTCTTAAAGGGCCGGACCTGGGCTGAGTGGGGCAGCCGTGGGGGTGCCAGGGGAGTGGGAAGGGGACTCATGGGAGAGCCCCCCATGCAGTGTGGGTGAGCACTGGGGCTTTTTTTTTTTTAAAGTACCAAGCTAGGTTGGGGGGGCTAGCAGGGGTCCCCTCCCCCAGCCCTCCTCTCCTGCCTCTAGTACTTACCAGCTGAAGACTGCCTGAATCATCAAAGCTCTCCGACTCTTTTCCAAAGAGTCGGAGAACTTTGAATCTATTTGGACCTTTAAATTGGTTCCCTGATTCAATTAGGATTCAGAGATTCGGCCACAAATCGGGCTGAATCTTCTCCGAATCGAATCATCACCTGAAGCTTCACATAGCCCTACCATCTTTGCAACATTAAGACTAGCCATGAACTGGATTTTAGTTAACTCTCACTGGCTAAGTGGAAATAAAACAAAAGGAAATCACACAAACCAGTGACAAGTGTATTGGATTTTGAACATTCTTCTATTTGAAGACTCTATTGTTACTAAGCAAATAATCTGTTTATTTATAGCCAAGGGCTATGAGTTTGTAATGTTTCTTGAAACATCCATTTCTGAAATGCAAGTAATGTAATAGGATAAAATGAAAGCTTCCAAAAAACTAACAGGACATGACACTGAAACTGAACAGTCAAAGTTCAAACTGAGTAAAATAGAAGTGTAAATAAGCAGTAAAAGCAACAGAAAGTTGTATTTTTAATTACCATACTTTCAGTCTGATAACCTGCAATGTTAATAGTGCACAGGTTAGAACCTTTGTTGTTTAACAAGTCTGTGTGTAGACAAAACAAGGGACATGTGTGCATGACACTTTAAACTGGGCTAAATGCTTTTGCACTGCTTTAATGGTGTCGGTGTTTGCATGCCTCAGTGGTGCATTAATTCCATCTGTTGCAGGAAATTTGGCAGTGTAATGTGCCTTAAATAACTTGGGGTGCAACAAACTAAAACTCCAAGGAGCACTGAGAAGTTTTAGCTTGCTGCCCCTACAGCCAGGAAGCGAAGCGGTGGGCTCCGTGCAGCTCCACAGCTCTGCAGGAAGCCCTGTAGGCAGCCGAACAGCAGCCAGGGAAGGCAGGCTACACCCAAGAAAAGCAGGGTGCCTGATTTCCACTCCCCACCCCCCCAGAGCCTGCCTGCTTGCATGAGCTGAGCGGGCCTGGTGCTTCCCTCAATGGCTGCGGTGCCCCCAGGACCACCTAAGCCAGGTGTCTGCAGGCGGGTGCTGCCTTGGGGTGGGGAGGCTACCATGGAGGGAAGCATCAGCCACCCCCTCCCCCTCCCCCTGCTGCCCAG